TTTGGATCAGTTCGCTTGGTTTTAGCACATTTTTTTTATTTTAAATAATTATTATATTTTTCAAATAACTAACGATTTTCTGCAAATGGAAATTTTGTAACAAAATTCGTTTGGAGATTTTTTATATATCCGCGCCTCAAATTTTACTGTTTCACTTCTCGTCAACTGCTATCTAGTGTCTCCATTAATGAAGATTAACTCCAAGGCGCTCACCACCCGCTAGTCAAAGAGATCGTGGCAGACTCGTGGCTGCTTTCGGTGGTTACGTATGATTAGGAACGTCGTCGCACCGGCAGCTCTGCGTTTTATCTGCGCGAATAGAGCGCCTATTAATGTGGAAAGCCCCTAACACAACGAGGAGCACATCTCTCTCCTCGACCGCTAATACAATATACACGCGATAACAGAGGCAAACAAAAAAGCATTTAACACCCAACTTGCTACGCTCCAAAATTAAAACAAAAAAATATCACCCCAAGTATGAGGCAGGTATATAAAAATTCCTTTTTATCGCTCGCCAAGATAAAACACATCTCTTTATCGCTGCCGGTGATTTACACGCGTTTAATTGCGCCGCCGGCAGATAAACCCTTTTCTCAGGTGCCACCCTGAAAATAACGCGGTGCGTGCGACAGGGATTAACTTTGTTCTTATACTCTTCTCTCTCGCCTACCTGTTTTGTTTGTCTGGTTTTATATATGTGTGGGGGAGAAAAATGAAATAATAATTATATGAAGAAGCAAGGAGCAGTTAATCCCACGGAATGCGTGTCTCGTTTCCTTTGGTTAAGGGGTTGCTACGTGAAGCACGACAGGTTCTTTATTGTGACAGTTGGTCGAGCTGTTGCGGCCTAATTGATCAGCCAACAACCCTTTAATAGTACCTGTCTTATTTCCTCCCCTGCGTGGCCGCGAATGCGTGACAGGTGCGCATCTCATTTTGTCCGTTGGCCTCTCTCTCACCTGCGCACAGGTGAAATGTATACAAACTTTGGAAATCCTCCTACTATAATATACGCGAGAAGAGGAAATAATTAAAATACGCCCGCGAGCTCTCGGTTTTACTGCCGGCGAGCAAACGTTTTGTGTAAAAACTAATTGGAAAGCTGATTGACTGATGGTGGCAAATCATTTTTCGCGGCCGCATTAGCTTCTACGGGGCGGCGGCTCACGTGGAACTTTGAAAATTTATTGTTTACCATAGCACGAAAGTGAAAGGATCCGTTAATTATCACTTTCAGTTTAAAGTAAAAATGGAACGTTTTTTTCCTTATAAAATTTAAATTAATTCAGGATCATGGAATTTAATTAATAAATCCGGTATCAGAGATTTAGTAAAATGTTGTAAATTGTAAGAGTGCATAAAAATTGAATTATAACAAAAAAATATGTGATGAAATTTAAAATTTTGATAATTTACAAGGTCAATTGATGATCAAGCCTTTTGCAATTAGACGAGAAATCTATCACAGCCATATTGTGTGTCAATTTGTCTAAATTAAGAAATTTTAAATTTTGATTTTCTGAGAGTGGAATATCTGGCAAAAGATTATTATTGCAATCAAATTTTCTTTTTTAATTTTTTCCTATGAAGTAAAAATCAATCTATTTTGCTGGAAAAAGAAAAGTTTTTATTATAAATTAAATTGCACTTCAATACCTGCAATTAATTTTCCTCTAACAAAGCAATTAATTAAGTGCACGGAAAGGTTCAATCTATAGTCCATTGCGAATTGCATCAGGTTTTTTTCATCCGACCTGCAATAACTTTCTAATGGGACCTCTCCCTGGAACAGTTCTATCTTTTTGCATATCCACACTCCTCGCTGCTGCTGCCTGGCTTTATGTTGTGTTACGGCACACATAAAAAGTTTGCGTTGGTGCATAGGAAACTGTGCTCGACGTAATTAGCATGCACACTATACTTTCACTGGGTCACCATTAAGAGCCGCCACCTTTGTGTTTCTCCGAATTCCCATGGGTACCGTGGGATGTTGATTTAGCTATGTTGCGCTGCACTCAATTAATTTATATAGCACCCTCCTTATCTTCCGGAACATTTTTTCTCTGCAAATCTATTTTTTAACATACATCCGCAAATTGCAATTTTCTGCAACTAAACGGTATGAAATGAGTTGCGGATCCGGTGGAGGGCGACGGCGGATGCTGCGGTTATTTAAATCAAATCGAGAGTTGGCCGTGCACCAGAGTTACGGACCCCATGCTGAGGAGAGCGACAGATGCTGCCCCATTTGCTCATCTTAGCTCTCTAAAGTAAAAACCGTTTCGGATTAATTTGTTTGGCAACGGCGGAAAAACGTGGCGAATATATTGAAATGCTCTTAATATGCTTTTGCGGTCAGTGATTTTTGAATAAATATATTCCGGGGAGAGTATTTGCAAGAATTAAACCAATCTCCCAACGGAAACAGAGATTTCACACCAATCTTGTACTGGTAGAAAAAGTCTTTTTGTATATAATTCAGCTTAAAGTTCCTCTCTTAACTTTTATTTATTATTTATTTATAAATGCATCAAAGCATTTAGATTCGAATTAACTTTGAGACCTTTTTGTTGAAAGTGGTTCTTTCATATTTCAAGTCCTGATCAATTTTTGAGCTATTTAATGTAAACAGGATACAATAATAATGACGAAATAATTCATAAAGCAAAAGATATTGCTTTTCTGAAGAATAAGAAATCTGGGAACAAATTTTCATTAAAAGTTTGAATTTCTTAAAATTATTAACATTTTAAAAGCATCTTGCATAATTTTTTTCTTTGCAATCCTAGGCTAAATTACATGGTGAGTTTGAAAGCCCTTAAATTTTTACAAGTCTTTTAAGTGGAAATAAATTTACAGACCTGACGAAATTTGCAACTGTATTTTTATCAAAATGTATAAAGTGAATTTACAGGGGCGGATGAGACGCTCCCATCTCACGTGCAGTGCCTCTCTCTGCAAATCAAAACCTTCTCTCTCTCGGCGACTTCTTTTCCTCGAAGCGAGATTTTGAGCCGAGGCTTTTTTTGCACTCAGAAATGGCGTTGTTGGACAAGAAAATAACCGGCCAGGGCAGCCAGCGCAGCAGCAGTAGCGAGTGACGCACGCGACTCGATCTGGCCGGCTCACAATAAATCTGCCGGTGAAATGCATCACTGGCCGAATGCAGGGTCGGACGTGATCTGCATTGGATTTATTGGCTGCCAGCAGCGTGAGATGCAGTCCATTTGACGTCCGCTGTCACTGGATTCCACTCATTTACTTGACCTGTCCATAAATTAGCTGGCCAAAGTGCGCTCTGATAAATTATTCATTCAGCTCCATCAATCATCGCACTTTCAATACCCACTGTTTATATAATATTCCGAGTTGGCGCGAGCGCCCACAAAAAAAGGCTCAGCCTGGATTATTATATTGATTCCATAGCAAAGCATTTGCAACTTCAAGTTCTTATATATAAAATATATTCCGACAAATGTATTCAACAGGTTTGCAGATTTTGCTGTTAAAGAGCAATGATATAATTTATTTCATTGCCACCGACCGCAACAAAGAGCTGCACGTGGTTTGATGCATTATGCCAATTATGTAGCCTGATAAATCTTTTCCAACAAGTGCAGCAGAATTGAAATATTAATGTATAAATCATATAAGAAAAAAGGTGAATGGCGCAAAAAGCTTATATATGAATGATCGAATGAAGTTGCTTTTAATAATCTCATCGAGCGTATCAACGCGATCGGTCGGTTTAATTGCACACGGATTTTTTTCTCAATCGAAGACGCACACAAAAGAAATCCGTTTTCCAATCTTGAATGTGCTCGAACACTTTTGTCCGAACACTCGCGCTGATTATTATGATGTTTGAAATTCATTCATCGCGATAGCTGCAGGAGAATAATATTGTTAGGCCAGCGTCTCGTTGCCTCGCAGCTTATTTCTTCCTGGCCGCTCTCTCGCGCAGCCAGCCTGGGTACTAACTGTATTTAGAGATGAAACTCGACGTGATGCAATTGTGTATATCGTAAACGATGAATACTGTAAATCAATTACCAATGATGACAAGAAGTGTGCTAGTCGTTTGTTTGAAGGTCTCGCTTCGAGGCGGACTTCCCAAAGACTTCTCAAGAATAATTACATAAAATCACTTTGGCCAAAGTTCAATTCATACAAGATTAAAAAAAGAATATGAACATTTTAAATTGCATGAACAGTTTTACCAATTTTATAATTCATTTTTTCCTGTTCAGTAATCACGATATTTTAAAAATTTCCTGAACATTATTAATTTAGCTCTATAGCAATTGAATTATATTATATAATTACATTCATTGACTTCTGTGAAGAATTTGGTAATTTAAAATATTTAATAAAAAAAGATATATTATTTATAATCCTTTTCTCTCAGACAGGATTATTTCATTATATTTTAAATTTATAATGTGGCCGCATTTTCGCTAGTGGTGGTTAATGATATATGAATATTTCTAATAATCAATTACTAACTATAAATGGAGTATTTGTAGTCTTTCTCGAAATCTGTTGTGTAAATGCAAGCGATATTTGTTTCCTCAATTTGCTGTAGTACACAATTGTACCAAATTTTATTTATTCTTAATAATGTGTACAAAATTAAGCAAAAATTAACTTTGAGGAAGTCTGTAACCCAGAAATCGATGGAAAATTATTTTGATTAATTTACCAATTTAGTTATATAATTATATTTATAGAGATTAAATAAATAAAAAACTTGAAATTGGTAGAATAAAATAATATCTTAAATCTTTTTTAAAATATTTTTAAGATAAATATGGTTTTAATTTATTTTAAACTCAATTTAAGTTTATATCACACTTTTATTACTTAACTGCAGTGTCTTGATTGAAAACAGTAAACAAACAAGTTGGCCACTCGCGCATGTACACTGCAGAAAATGAGTCGTGCTTCGATTTCTCACTGAGGCGATTTATTCATTCCACTCCACTTTTTGTTCGCAGGATGATGGACGAGTACAAACCAGACCTGCTGCTCGGCCACTCGGGCTACCCCCAGCTGCACCTGCCCCCGGCCCCGGAGGGGCCGCAGACGATGAGCGGCAACTCGTTCCACGACTTCGCCGCCTCGCCCTCGGCCTACTACATGCGCTACGCCGACGACCCGAGCGGCCACCTGTTGCAGGGGGTGGTGCGGGGGTCGCCGGCCGCCTCCGAGGAGGCCACCAGCACGTGGATGCCCGGCTTCGGCACGGCGTCGCCGAGTCGCGGCGACGACCGCCAGCAGCACATGATGCAGCCCATGCAGCAGATGCCGCTGGGCGGCGGCGGCCCCGCCGGCCCCAAGGGCCAAATCGGCGCACAGAAGAAGGAGCAGCGCATCCGGCGGCCCATGAACGCCTTCATGGTGTGGGCCAAGGTTGAGAGGAAGAAGCTGGCCGACGAGAACCCGGACCTCCACAACGCAGATCTCAGCAAAATGCTTGGTGAGTGCCAATTTTTATTTTTTCTTCTGCAAATATTTTCATGATAGTTGAGGGCCTGCTTGAAATTTAGGTCATTTTTTATTGAGAGGAAAAAAAATTATTCTGCACAATTAAAAATTAAATTTATTTACCATATAAATCTTTATGTCTGTTTGTATACATTCGATGAAAAATATAATTTATATCTTTTTAATCAAACACATCCCAACTGTTTTTCGTATTACTTTCTGAATAAAAAATAAAATACAATATAATTCTTTAGGCGCGCTACAATCTAACTATTTATTAGTGATTTTGATCTCCAACAGTTACCAACGTATGTTTATCCAGCTTTTTATTAAATATTTTCTAACCCTTTTTTTAATTTTTAATTTTCGCATTAATAAATAAGGAATGCAAATTCAACTTCCTAATTCAACCTTCTGATTGCTTTAAAAAAAAAAAAGAAAAAAATAGTATTCAAAAAGCTTAACTGAGCTTTTGCCAATTTAAAAAAAAGCAGATTTGTTCAGTGTTTTTCTTATAAATTATAAATAATTGCCTGCAAATTTGAAACCGAGACTTTCAGACGCTATAAAAAATTCTGATGAATCCTCCAGCATTCTTATCCTTATCAGTTAAAATCCTCTTATGTTTTTTTGATAAGCAAATTCTCGATTAGCCACAGTGATAATAATTCGTTTAAAGCGTCACGTGTATTTGTCTCTATGCGAGAAGAATTCGCTGAATTCTCCGTTGCATTTAATTTAATCTCTGCAGAAATTTGGCGCGGGTGTTCGTCATATGCATCGCATCGTCTCTTTCTCGCTTTTTGCAAGTGGACGAGCTTACACAATGAAGCGCGGCGGAGAGCCCGTGCGCGCGCGGTGCCACTTTCACTTTTAGCCGATTATATTGTTTTTATTATTATTCAATCGGTGTGCAGTTGAGCAAGTATATTAGCCACTGGTGGACTCTTAAAAGCGCGCGGCAGACGGACCGCGGCATCGCACGCACGCTAATATTCGCTCCGCCAAGGACCCCGAACGCGTCACTGATACGAATTAACGAGGGGAGCCTTTTTAGGCGTGCACATCCTTCGCTCCAATGATAAATATGGTTCCAGTTGCACGCCAAGCTTGTCAGAAATCGCGTTACAAAATTTTATTAGAGATTAAAATATTATAAGTGGCAGATCTTAAAAAAATGTATATGATCTACCACTATCTACTGATTTTTATGAATTATTTGCTATTTTTATAAATCATAATTTATTATTTATTTCTTTTTATTTGGAATAAAGCTTTCTTTATAAAACTTTGTGCCATTTTGAAAAATTTTAATCAAATTTAAACGTTTCAATCTCCTTGTAAATAAAATACTACATACTACAAAGCAAAGTTGCAGGAAAATTTGCTTATTTACGCTAGCTTTTGTATAATATTGTTTTTTAATATTTATTTTTTTTAATTTAATATGAATTATTAATAATTAATAATTGCTCCACTTATTACACACAAATTCTACTTTGAATTTGTTTTCATTTGAAAGAATTTAATTGAAATTCAAAATTTTTTACTGATTTTTGGAGTAAATTATTTCATACAAAATTGATTCAAAAAATGGTAGGATTTTATGGAAATTTTAAGAATTAATAAAACCAAGAATTTGTCCTCCAATCGCTACTTTATAGACTCTGCCATCTCTCTCTATTTAACTTCGCGATATTTTTTTTTTGCGCCGGTTACCTGTTGTTCTTGGACCATTAGACAAGGCCGTAAATTACTTCAAACGGAATGCGCGCCGTGGAATATAGTACTCGTCGATGGTTCCGAGAAAAACACGGCAGTCTCTCTCTCTCTCCTTGCCGAGTTCCAATAATGAGAGAGATAAAATTCGCCGGCGCGATGATAGATTCTTGGCTGATATACGCGTTGTCTGCTAACTCATCTCTCTGCGGCCGATCCACCTGTTGTTCGCGGAGGCCACAGGTGATATAAAATGTAAAGTAAATACAAACGCACGAGCCGCCGCATACATTTGATATAAATTGAATAAAGGAGAGTTCCTCGCCACCTGCTCCACCCCCTACAGCTCTCGGCAGGCTTCGCATCTGCCCTTTAAATAAAAATTCACGTTAATTTACATGCAGAAGTTGTGAAATTCGGCTGCTTCTCTCTCTCTCTCTCTCTCTCTCTCGAAGCGTGAAAAATAATTGCTTGAGTTTTTCGCGTGATTTGGCCTGCTGCTCGGGCTAACTGCTCCTCCGATTAAAACGCAAACTTCGCCACCGCCCCGGATGTTATTGCTCGACACAGCGACGCAGCCGAGCAGAAAGTCAAGAGGAATCAGGGTAGTTTGCGCGCTTTGATGCAACAAAAACGCTCGCGCGCAACGGCTTATTCGTCCTCCGCGAGCAAAAACTGGTGAACTGAGAAAAAAATGCAAACAAAAGAGCAGAGTGAGGCAGCGTCGAACTGTTGTCGCACATGGCTTGAAAAATTGGTAATTGCTTTCGGAGTGAATAAGAAAGCAGCTTAACATATCCACTTGAATACTTTTTTCAATCGAAAAAAATTTTAATTCACAACCGCAATTTTGAAATTACTAAGGAACGGTTTAAGTTTTTGTTACCGTAAAAGCTTTTAATATTTTTGTAATTAAAATCATCCTGAATAAAGATCATCCTGAATAAAGAAGGTTGTACAAAATTTCAAATTAAATGGATTATGTTCAATGCAGCCTTTTGGAGTGGAAAATTAATTCAAAAGTGATTTCCATTATGAGGTTTTTTTTCATAAAATTATAAATTTTAATCTTTGATTTTTTTATTGATTTAAAAATCCGAAATATGTAAGAAAATTAGAAGTATATTCTTTTGCCTAATAATTTAATAGTCATCATAAAATTAAATGATCATTTATGAATGCATTTTTTTATGTATTAAAAGTAACGACGAAATCTAGAATACACAAATTATAAGTAATTTATTAGTACAGAGATATTAATTTCTTGATTTTTGTCTTATTTAAACCCTGTGATTCTTCTTATTTATTTTCCACTTTGTTTTCTCATTGGACTTGCATGTTCCAAAAAAATTTTGAACACAAAATCTTCTTTGAAATTCCTGAAGCGACCCCAATTAAAATGACAATCTCTATTCATGCCGACTGACCAGTTTGTCAAGAGGCGAATCAAAGACTAAAGAGGCTGCCATTCACAATTAAACGGCGCATGTACTTTTGCGTGTAGACTTTTGTGATTGCGAGAGACACATACGTTCATTCCAAATGATAAAGTGCTCGGCATTTTTCATCGAAATTCCACTCGAAAAGCTCTCGGCATAGAAGATTTATGTGACATCGGCGGGCAGTGCATTGAGCAAAATAAATGTGATGATGGATAAAGCGGCGCGCAGGTAAATTTCGCGTCATTTGCATAGACTGCACATAAATATAAGAGCGAAAGAAAGAGCACACACACTCCACACAGGTGCTCTATATCTCAAAATCTCGACTGCCTCATGCCGCGACTCCGGCCTGAATTTTAAAACTAGCTGCAGCTGATTTTCAACTCGGAGAAATACATAAATATATCTCAAGAGAGAAGGAAAATGTTCCGCTGGCTGCATAACAATCAGTAGCCGATATGGAAATTCGTTTGAAAAATTAAGAATAAAATCCGTTGGCCAGTCTTGTGCGGCAGGTGCAATTATTATTCGAGGGGCCATCTTCTCGCTCCTCTCTGGCTGCGTGTTTGTATAATCGCCCGACTGGTGGGTGGAAGAAGACCGGAAGTCATTTGGTCTGCGATGTGCGTGCTGGCCCTTTCCTCTTCGGAAACACTCCGAGAATTTCTTCACTTGAACGCTCCGTGTGTGTGTTTTTTTCCACTTTTTATATCGACCTTCCAACTACAACGGTGGAAAATTAAATAAAGAGGCGCGCAATTGTTAGTCTGGTAAAAAAAAAGGTTTTCTTTCTTAGTTCGCTCGCTCCAAGACACATTCCGAAAATGGATGGAATTAATTTTTTTTTCAATCTATGGTTCAAAATGTGTGATTCTAGACGCCTTTTTGGGCCTTTTGCTTTTTCATTTTTTTCTCAAATATTGTTACAAATAGAAACTTATGGTGATTTTTTTTTTTAAATTGACATTTGAATAATTCAAAAAAATCTATGCCTTCATTAATTTAAAACTAACATACAATTTTTCATATTTCCAATCTTCTATCTTTTCGAATTGGAAAAAAAATGAATTGAAAAAAATAATGTATGGGGCTTAATTAAAAATTGCTCTATGAGAGAATTATTAACCATTTTTGTTTTTTAAATAAAGAGACGCGCAATTACTTAATTGCGTTTAATTTAAATTTTTCCGGCGCGTTTGACTCGGCTTTGTGTCACAGATATACGAAAGCCCTGACCTGGTTATTACGGTGCAACAATCCGATTCGAGTCGATTGTTGGCGCGCGCACCCTCCTCTCTCGTCACAGAGAGATGCGTCATTAATCACGGCTTTGAATTCATAATCACACGCAGCACACATTCCCAATCCGTATAGCTTTGTTTCGTCCGTTTCAACCAACACGTTCTTCTCAATAAATCAAAATCTCCACAATGCCGGATGATAAATTTAGAAATTTTACTCCTCTACGCGAGCGCGCGCGCGCCCAGATTAATTAATATTCACAGTCGAGAGCGTCGTAAAAAGAATTAACCGTCGGTGACAACTGCGGACACATAATGCATCCTAGAAATCTTTCTCCTCTCATAATATTCTTAACGAGCCCACCGCTCTAATTAATGACGAATCTCTTTCTTTCATTTTTTAACCCAGCATCGTCCACCGACTGCATCTGTGGAATGAAAATAATGCGCGCGACTTTTTTACCCACGGACAGCGTGTCTCACTCTGTTAAATTCAATTATTAATTGCGTCGAGTGCTCGGCGAAAATAAGTACACGCCGGTGACGATAATTGTTTCCAGAGTGAGCAGTTCCTTACTTTTTTTCTCTTT